GCTGAATTATGATTGTGCTGTTTGAATCAGATTGTTTTACAGCCTATGAGCTCAAAGTAGGAGCTGAAAAATCAGTTTCAAGTTACTGAATTATGCATTCGTGTGGTGGCTAGTGAATCATGACCTTAATTCAAGACATGACAAAGCATTGAGCTTGTTTTCATCAAATGAAGCCACCACACTGACCAAAAGACAGCATCTGTGGTAGTAGTAAAGATTACGTAAATTAAACATATAGTATTTGTGAAAGTAGTGTTCAGATATTGTCAAAATACTTGACTTATGGTTGTAGGTTGTAAGTTATGATATTTGTTGGCTTAATTTAAATCTTTTTTGGAATAATTTCACTAAACAAGTAATAATAATTACAGCATGCATAATGAAAGTTGTAACTTCTGTCATGGCATTTGCAACTCAATTATTTGTACCCCAAATTACATCTATTTGGACCCAAATTTCACTACACACGTAATGGGATTAACAACATTCGTAATGCAAGTGACCACTTCCGTATTACCATTTGCAACTCGTTTATTTTAAACTAAAGTAACATGTATTTGGAGCCAATTTCACTACTCCGATAATGATAATGACAACATTTATAATATGAATTACAATTTTTGTAATGAGAGTTATCATCTTGCTATTGTTATTTGCAACTCGTTTATTTCAAACCCAAGTAATATATATTTGGAGCTAATTTCACACTCCTGATAATGATAATGACAAAATTTGTAATGTGAATTACAACTTTCGTAATGAGAGTTACAATTTCGCTATTGTCATTTGCAACTGGTTAATGTGAAATGAATTTAACATGTATTTGGAGCCAATTTTACTACCCTAATAATGATAATGATAATATTTGTAACGTGAATTACAACTTTTGCAATAAGAGTTACTATCTCGCTATTGCCATTTGTTAACTCATTTCTTTCAAACTCAAATAACATCTATTTTCAACCAATTTTACTACCCCGATAATGATAATAACAACATTTGTAATGTGAATAACAACATTTGTAATCAAATTAACCACTCCGGTCATGCCCATTGGCAACTTCCACTATCTCCCTTGGAGGAATTAAGCAAATGGTAAAAATGTGTTGACAAAATAGCATACAAGTACACCTGAAGAACATCATGATATGTTTATATTAACATTCAGACTTTACTACATGTATAATGGAATTGACTACTGAAGTGATAATATTTACCAAAAACCAGTACGCCTATGACAGAAGTTACATAACTTGTATTCAAATGACAAGTTAACATTAAGATTAAACCACCACCTAATGTTTCCTTGTCATTCAGATTACAAACATATCCTACCCAGTTAACATCATTTACAAAAAGGATAACCTCTCTATCAACTATTCTCCCAAAAAATTAAGGGTTCAAAAGTTATTCTATTTACACCAAAAAAATTACTCCTCAATGTTAGACCCAATGTCAGATGTCATCAAAGCCTGCTAACCTGCAACAAAGAAGCATAAATCAATATTTTAGTTACCCAATAATCAATTTCATTTATCTTTCGAAACATCCAAAAAATACACACACCCACTTACTCCATTAACAACTTAAATATAGGATTTTACAATTTCAGTAATGAATTTAACAACACTGACCACCTCATGCTTACTGTTTGTTACCATTTTTCCATTTCCTACGCGTCACTCTCTCGTCCTGGTCAAATTATTCATCCAAACCCTCTACACTCACAGACCCATCCCCATTCGAGCATGCAGCAACAAAGAAATCGGGTGATACTAGCGTTTTAACGGAAAAATTGCTTACCTTTTCCCTCTTTCCAGATTTCCATCCTTGCTCTAGCTTCGTCTTCTCAGCCTCTCTCTCTTCTGGTATATTATTGTTTTCTTTGCAGTTCATATCTTCAGAGAGGTTGAGGGTATTTTAGTCTTTCCGAATTGACAAAATTCCAGATTGATACCCCATACCCATTTGGTCATTTCAGTTATTTGTATACCCATTTTGTCATTTTAAATTTCAACCGTCCTTTTTCTGTCATTTTCCCAAAAATCTTCCTCACAAAATTTTAAAAGTTCATCGGCTTGGATTCATTGGATCCAATTTTAATAAACCAAAATCTGGAAATTTGCGTTGGAATTCCCATTTTATTCACGCGGCCATCAAATCCAACGTTCCTCAGTAATTTAATCCGCTCCGTGTAGCTCAGCCTGAGGTGTGTTGCTCTGTACACTTCTCACAGATGGAGTCAACTGCAAGTTCCAAATCCTCCACAGCAGTCTTCCTCCTTCCCATCCTCTTCTTCTTCCTCCTCAATGTCTCTGCTTCTTCCAATCCCACCACTTCCTTCCCAAAACAAGCCTTGCCCACAAAATCGGGCTACCTCCCTGTTAACTCCACCTCCAAATCCGCCATTTTCTATGCTTTCTATGAAGCCCAGAACCTCACTACATCTCTCTCCCAAACCCCAGTTCTCATATGGCTCCAAGGCGGCCCTGGCTGTTCCTCCATGATTGGCAACTTCTTCGAGCTTGGTCCGTGGCGCGTCACCAAATCCCTCAATCTCGCCCCCAATCCTGGCTCTTGGAACAGAATCTTCGGCCTCCTTTTCCTCGATAGCCCAGTCGGAGCCGGATTCAGTGTCGCTTCAAACCCCGAGGAAATCCCCAGAGACCAGAAATCCGTAGCCAAGCACCTCTTCGCTGCCATAACCAAGTTCATTCAGCTTAACCCTGCTTTCAAGTATCGCCCAATTTATATAACCGGCGAAAGTTATGCTGGGAAGTATGTTCCTGCGATTGGGTATTACATATTACACAGGAATTCTCGATTGAATGTTTCACAGAGAGTGAATTTGGCAGGTGTGGCTATTGGGGATGGGTTAACACATCCTATAGTACAAGTTGCCACTCATGCTCTGAATGCTTACTATGTGGGGCTGATCAATGAGAGGCAGAAGAATGAATTGGAGGAGGCTCAATTGGAAGCCGTCAGATTGACCAAATTAGGGAATTGGAGTGCAGCAACAGATGCCAGAAGCAATGCTTTGAGACTGTTACAAAACATGACAGGGTTGGCTACTTTATATGACTACACAAGGAAAGCTCCATATGAGGATGATTTGGTAGCTGAGTTCTTGAAATCCAGCGAGGTGAAGAAGGCGTTGGGGGTGAATGAATCTATTGTGTTTGAAGGATGTAGTGATACTGTAGGAATTGCAATGAAAGAAGATATTATGAAGAGTGTGAAGTACATGGTGGAATACTTGGTGACAAAAACCAGAGTGCTTTTGTACCAAGGCCAGTATGATCTGAGAGATGGTGTGGTTCAAGTGGAAGCATGGGTGAAGAGAATGAAATGGGAAGGGATTGAGAAGTATTTGAATGCGGATAGGAAGATCTGGAAAGTGAATGGTGAGATTGCTGGGTATGTTCAAAAATGGCAGAGCCTAACTAATGTTGTTGTTTTAGGAGCTGGCCATCTTTTGCCTGCTGATCAATCTGTGAACTCTCAAGCCATGATTGAGAACTGGGTTTTGCAGAAGGATTTGTTTGAGAACAATGATCAACAGGAGAATGTGCCTCTAAGTTTTTGAGATTTAGTTTGAAATCATGTGACACCTGAATAGAGGAGCTTTGCTCCTATCATGCCCGACTCAAAAGTTGAAATAACTTCAGCATTATGTTGTGTTCTGTGGTGATTGGTATATTGGTATTAGTGCTTTAGCCATAGTTGTTCTGTTGTTGTAAAGCTGGTGAAATGGAATCGCGAGGTTTTGACCCTTCATTGTTGGAATGACACCGCATAGCTAATAAATAAAGTCGACTTGCTTACTTGAAAATTTCAGTTTTTCCCTGATTTCCCCCTCTACTTAGGACACGCGACACACAAGTTAGATAAAAGGTATTGCATTTACCTTTTTCAAGGCAAAAGAAACGGAAGTAGTGTGTGTATCCAAAGGATCTTTTAAATGTAATTTCAAAATGAATGAATAACTAGTGATATTTATTATTATCCTATGAATGAATTTGAGGAGAAATTCACTTCAAGTCATAATTAGTGACATTATTATAATCAATTTTTTTAACCAAGCAGCACATATAAGTTATTAAATTATATAATATGTTAGTTATTCACAAATAATCATATGATTTTTGAAGGAATATTAATAAATAATTCTTAATAATTTTGTTACATCATATATATCATTTAGGGTGATTGAATAATTCATACCAACAATAAATTAGTTTGGATTAGTGAACTTTTGGTTTATCAATTTTAAACTCTTTGATGAACTAAAATTCTAATGTAAATCTATGGGTCATAAATTTTATTACCAATTATTTTGCAGCTCATAACAAAATCTATATTAATTCTTTCGAAATTATATGAATTTTGCTAGAACTATCATATATTAGCTTGTATGCTTTGATAGATGCCTTAATTTGCTTCTTTTAATACATTTTCAACATATAAATATGGAATATTTAAAATTATCTACTATGTACATATTTTCTCAAAATCCCCCTGTTGAAAAAAATTAATACTCTTTTTTTTAAATATATTTAGTAACATCCCAAAACTTATTTACTGAATTTATAAAGAAATCCAAGAGATTCATAAGTAACTAAGATCAAAATGGGGGGGGGGGACACATTAAAATGATTAATGTTCTGGTGACTAAATTGAAATGAAAAAAAAAACACTTTCATTATTTCCAAAAAAAAATATTTGGCATAAGAAAATAATATTGACATATCCTTAGCATGAAGTCCATTTATAATTAATACTCCATTGAAATGATAGCCAGCGGCTGTAATCAATGTCGACCAAGCAAAGGCACATGTTTTGAAGTCATAATGTCGTATACACCAACGTCTAATGAACTTGAAATCGCCGTCAATGTTGAGAATATGATTTTCTGGTTTGTGCAGGTTGGAGGGTAGGGTGGCCAGCTAGTTGCGAAAAACGGAGCATCAGTGGTCACAGCAGACGTTCACTATGAACTGGGTCATCAACTCGCAGCTTCACTATCCCCATCAAGAGAGTTACCATCACTGTGATGTCAGAGACGAGGAACAGGTCGACCAAACTATAGCGTTCGCCGTCGATAGACTTCCGTCGGAGACGATATAAATGGACTTGGCCACGCCTCACCTCTGCGGCCACCATAATGTGGATATCGGACGCATCTGCATCAGGAGACAGAGTGAGGGGAGGTAGAGAAGCATCTGGTTAAAGGGTGTGGAACACCAGGGAGTTAAATTTCGCGACATAGATGGCTCATATTGGGTCATAGATGATTATGACATATTATAAATGATAGAAAAATTCAGGACTAACTTTCAATCGAGTTAAAAGTTCAGAGAGAGACTGAGTTATGCCGAACTCCAGGGATTCAGAGCTAAGCCAACCCTGCAGGGGCACATCATATCAGAAACTTCAAAGAATCACAATCTCAGGCACAATAAAATGACAACGACAAAATCTACAAGGCGTCAAACTAAATCACAGAAACTATTCCTTGTTTCTCATATTCAAACATATTCCTCTCCAAAACCCAGTCTTCTATCATCATTTGAGAGTTCAGAGGTTGATCAGCTGGCAAAAGATGGCCACCACCCAAAACCACAACACTTGTGAAGCTTCCCCATTGTTGGACATATCCTACTGGAACTTTATTCACTTTCCAGATCTTTCTCTCTGCATTCAAATACTTCTCAATCCCTTCCCATTTCATTGTCTTCACCCATGCCTCGCTGGGAGGCACCCCTAACTTCAAGTCATATTGCCCTTGGTATAGAAGCACCCTAGTCCTCTTCACCAAGTACTCCACCATATACTTCACACTCTTCATTAAGTCCTCATATAATATAGCTAGAACAGCATCACTACAACCTTCAAACACAGCAGATTCATTCACCCCTAGTGCCTTCTTCACCTCACTGGATTTCAAGAACTCAGTGACCAAATTGCTCTCATAAGGAGCTTTCTTTGTGTAGTCATACAAAGTAGCTAAACCAGTCATGTTCTGCAACAGACTCAAAGCATTGCTTCTAGCATCTGTTGCTGCACTCCAATTCCCCAATTTGGTCAATCTGATCGCCTCTGACAGAGCCTTCTCCACCTCATTCTTCTGCCTCTCATTGATCAATCCAATATAGTAAGCATTCTTAGCATGGGTAGCAACTTGTGTCACTGGATCAATCAGCCCATCCCCAATTGCCACACCTGCCAAATTCACTCTCTGTGAAACATTCGATCGAGAATTCCTGTGTAGTATGTAATACCCAATTGCAGGAACATACTTCCCAGCGTAGCTTTCTCCGGTTATATAAATTGGTCGGTACTTGAAAACAGGATCAAGTTGAATGAACTTAGTAATGGCAGCAAAGAGGTGTTTGGCAACAGATTTCTGGTCTCTTGGGATTTCTTGAGGATCCGAGGCCACACTGAATCCAGTACCGATTGGGTTATCGAGGAAAAGTAGGCCGAAGATTCTGTTCCACGAGGCAGGATTGGGTTTGAGAGTTAGGGATTTGGTGACGCGCCATGGACCGAGCTCGAAGAAGTTACCGATCATGGAGGAGCAGCCAGGGCCGCCTTGGAGCCAGATGAGAAGTGGGGTTTGGGATAGAGGTGAAGTGAGATGCTGAGCTTCGTAGAAAGTGTAGAAAATGGCAGAATTGGAAGCATGGCTGACAGGGAGGTAGCCAGATTTTGTGGGTAGCGTTTGTTGGGGGAACAAAGGGGATGGATCTGGGGACGAAGAAGAAGAAACATAGTTGTGATTTAAGCAGAAGGCAAGAGTGGAGAGGAGGAAGATCACAAGAGAATTGGTTCTTGTTGACTCCATTGGTGAGGCGAGGAATTTGGATCCCGAAAGTGAGATTGACCAACTTTTGACCAGCCACGGGGAGTCCCTAGGAAACGTGGATCCATTTTTCGTATTCATCTGATCCAGGCAAGAAGATATTGAACTACTTGTGAATTTGATTACCGGAGATTTGTTAGGATTTGCGGAATCCGTCGTGGTAATTTTGAATGGCGATTTACAAAATATAATATAAGTATATGAGAAATTTTTCTGTGTGAATTAATGCTTTAAAAAATCTCAATCACACTTCCAAACAACTGAACAAGTACCGAATAAGCCTCCTTTCTTTGAGGGCTTATTTTTACTTTTTACGATAATTAATCTTTTAATTCTATTAGTATAATAAATTGACAGCTTCAAAACAAAATTTTTATTTAAAATAAATTTAAATAAATTTAGATAAGTTTGGTACTGAAGACTTACCAGAATTAACACTTATAGAAGTACTTACAATCTTACAATTAGTCTATCAACAAGGTCTTCACATCAGTAGCGGGATTCAACCTCATGACTTTGTAAGTTATTAGCCAACCTCTTACTAACTGAACTAATTTTTGTCGACAATTTCAAAACAACTTTTATGAATAGGATAAGGGAATAAACTAGGTGCATTAACAAGTACCCAAAAAATTTTTTTTAAAAAAAAGTTCAAAGCTAATGAATAATAATTGTTTTTTGGTAGAAATATAATAATTTTTTTTAATCAAAGAGATAGATGCTAACTGCTTGAAATTACAATCCCGACCGAACCCGCAACAGGCCACTTACATGGGAGCGTCATTGTTACTCAGCTATAAGGCTTTTGGCAGAATAACGGGGTTTGACACTTGTTGCTGGAAATTGGAATGACACCGCATAGGTAATGAATAAAATCGACTTCCTTACGGGAAAGTTTCAGTTACTCCCTGATTTCTTTATTTAGTAAGGACACGCCACATAGGGTTGGTTCGGATTGAGGGTAAAAAAAATAATTTATTTTTAATTTGACTTTTAAAAAGATAAGATTGGATAAAAAGTTAAATTGGGTAAGGCGAATTGTGTTTGGATTGGAATTTAAAAAAATTAACTTATAAAAGTTGAATTAGATAAAAAGTTGTTTAGATTATGATTGAATAAAAATAAATTTGTTTATAAAATTATCAAAATTAGTATAAGTTTTAATAAATAATAAAATATGATTAAAAAAATAAGAAAATTCATCAGCACAGGAAAAGGTACACAGTATAATACCCATGTCATCCGAAACTTGAAAAGCAATGTCATGGTAACATTAAAGATTGTGCCCAGAAAATAAGAAAGAAAACACGATCTTTGACCCAGATGTTGACGAATTTAAGCACCAGCAGCACCCTTCAGAGCCTTCTTTGATTCTTCACTAACATCAGCGCCCGGCGACTTTGGAGTAAAACTATCAAAACCCGGCCTTTTCTTTGTTACGTGGATCGATCTCGCCATTAGAAGATTTCATCCCATTCCTCTCAACTTCTCTGTACTTGCCGAAATCTAATCCTCCAATAGAGCTGAAGCCGAATATTTCCCTTCGGAGATCTTCCATGGCATTCCTCAGTAATCCATTCTCAGCCTGCAAAACTTCCAATTGCCGTTTCACTTTGAGACAGGCCTCTGCCACGTCAGCATTTCCCGAGGATGCCGAATCCGGGCCCGCTCTTTTACTACCTCTCCCCTTTGAATCCCACCGTCCACGTGCTTGACTCCACTCTTATCCATCACCAGGAACGGAATCTTCTGAAATGCTATCCTAGCCGTCACGTTATCACGACACTTCAGCTCCGCTGGTACACGAACACCCCATGGGAAGTTCACCAACAGATCAAACAAGGGAACAGCTTTGAAGTAGCGATGGAGGAGCAGGCTCGAGGTCACTCAACACCACACCCAACACTATACGGACCTCATGCTGGAGACGCGACGGAGCTCACAGTGAGGAGGCAACGGAGCTCGTCCGGCGGTAAAGAGGGGTCGTGCGTTTTACAATGTCTTTAAAGCATTTTATTTAATTGAACTGATTATTCTAGGTTGATAAAAGGGAGAATTTCACTGTAGGACCGCAGAAGACAATTAATCTCAAAAAGCCTCCAAAACTTTCTGAAATCTCACTGCAGGACCAAGGGGCCAATCTGATATTAATTCCACAAATGAAATGACGCCACTGCCCCTAATAGAAACTTAGTTCCTTGAGGGAACAAGTGCAGGAGAGCGCATTTGCAAGGGGAACTAGCCAATTTGCAGAATAAATACATATATTCACACGTGGAATCAGTCCGTTCACATGTGGACTGGTTCACTTGATGCATGCGTCCGTGAGGGAACAAGTGTGGGAGAGCGCATTTGCAAGGGGAACTAGTCAATTTGCAAAAGAAATACATATATTCACACGTGGAATCAGTCCGTTCACATGTGGACTGGTTCAGCTGAAGCATGGGTCCGTGAGGGAACAAGTGCGGGAGAGCGCATTTGCAAGGAGAACTAGCCAATTTACAGAATAAATACATATATTCACACGTGGAATCAGTCCGTTCACATGTGGACTGGTTCACCTGAATCATGTGTCTGTAAGAGAACAAATGCGGGAGATCGCATTTGCAAGGGGAATTAGCCAATTTGCAGAAGAAATACATATATTCACACGTGGAATCAGTCTGTTCACATGTGGACTGGTTCACCTGATGCTAAGGGTAGTGGTGTCATTTTGCTTGTGGAATTAATATCAGATTGGTCCCTTGGTCCTGCAGTGAGATTTCAGAAAGTTTTGAGGGCTATTTGAGATTAATTGTCTTGTGCGGTCCTACAGTGAAATTTTCCCTTGATAAAATGTCTTTAAACTAATATATTTTGGTTGACAAAATGTCCTGAAGGGAGTGTTTGGGTAACTCTAAAAGTACTTTTTATAAGCACTTTTTCGTAAATCGAAACAAACTCCTCCACATATTTATTTCATATACTGTAAAAACACTTCTGAAATCATGATTTTGTTCTTATCCAAACATCTCCTTAACTTATTAGTCATTTTGTTTTGAAAATGCCAATAGTGAAAATGTCTACATTCACCACTCAGCAAGTCAAATATCCTACGTTGGCCCAAAAACAAAAAGAGTCAAATATTCCACAAATTTGACTAACTCGTCTGCATTTAGGATTGGTCCCTCAAGCACATCCGCTTGTTTTCTGCAGTTCATACTCAATCTTGTGAATTGCAAGTAACGTATTTCTTTCTTTCTTTTTTTTTTTTTGGGCCAAGTATTATTCTTGTTGTTATTGTTGTTGTTATTATTATTATTATTTGCCAGCTTGGGTCAAGTATTAATAATGCCTTACTAATTACATACATTAAACTTGAGATCTTAGTCGGTCCAAAAACACTTGAGACCCTAGAAGTCAACAAGCAACTTTTTTTGACCCTCTTTCGCTCGTCTAATCGTCTTGACCCTGCCCACATGCCGAAGCCTTTCATGTCCATAACTCAATATAACAATACATGTACTGGGCACTGACCAAAGGCAACTTCACCGAATAATTTAATTCAATAAAAATGGATTCAACAGCGAGATCCAACTCTGTCACACTCCTCATCTTCATCTTCTTCCTACTCCTCAATGACCCTGCTTCTTCTTCAAATCCAACTACTTCCTTCCCAAAACAAGCCTTGCCCACAAAATCTGGCTACCTCCCTGTCAACCCCACCTCCAAATCCGCCATTTTCTACGCTTTCTATGAAGCCCAGAACTCCACTCCGCCTCTCTCCCAGACCCCACTTCTCATCTGGCTCCAAGGCGGCCCTGGCTGCTCCTCCATGATCAGCAACTTCTTCGAGCTTGGACCATGGCGCGTCACCAAATCCTTGAATCTAATTTCCAATCCTGGTTCTTGGAACAGAATTTTTGGCCTTCTATTCCTCGATAACCCAATCGGAACTGGATTCAGTATCGCCTCAAACTCTGAGGAAATTCCCCGAGACCAAAATTCTGTGGCCAAACACCTCTTCACTGCTATAGCCAAGTTCATTCAGCTTAACCCCGCTTTCAAGGATCGCCCAATCTATATAACCGGCGAGAGCTATGCTGGGAAGTATGTTCCTGCAATTGGATATTACATATTACAAAGGAATTCACGTTTGAATGCTTCCCAGAGGGTGAATTTAGCAGGTGTGGCGATTGGAGACGGGTTAACTCACCCAGTGGCACAAGTTACTACTCATGCTGTGAATGCTTATTTCTTAGGGTTGATCAACGAGAGGCAGAAGAATGACTTGGAGAAGGCTCAATTTGAAGCCGTCAGATTGACCAAACAGGGGAATTGGAGCGCAGCAAGAGATGCGAGAAACAATGTTTTCAGATTGTTGCATAACATGACAGGGTTGGCTACTTCATTCGACTTCACAAGAAAAGCTCCTTATGAAAGTAACTTGGTCACTGATTTCTTGAAATCCAGCGACGTGAAGAAGGCACTAGGGGTGAGAGAGTCTCTTGTTTTTGAAGGATGTAGTGATACCGTAAAAGCTGCATTACAGAAGGATGTGATGAAAAGTGTAGAGTACATGGTGGAATACTTGGTGACAAAAACCAGAGTGCTTCTATATCAAGGCCAGCATGATCTGAGAGATGGTCCGGTTCAAGTAGAAGCATGGGTTAAGACACTGAAATGGGAGGGAATTGAGAAGTATTTGAATGCAGATAGAAAGATATGGAAAGTGAATGGCCACCTTGCTGGGTATGTGCAAAAATGGCAGAGCCTCACTAATGTTTTGGTTTTGGGAGCTGGTCATTATTTGCCTGCTGATCAAGCCGTGAACTCTCAAGTCATGATTGAAAACTGGGTATTGCAGAAGGATTTGTTTGAGCATGATCAACAGGAGAATGTTTAGCTAAGATCTTGAGATTTAGTTTGAAATTATGAAGCACCCGAAAACGCACCAGAATTTATATCTTTAAGAACTCAACACTAGAAAATTGAAATAAATTACGCATCACACCCTGTTATGTGGTATTCTACCAGTGCTGTTATCCGTGCTTTCCCAATGTTATCCTTTCATTGAAACTGGTGAAATTGAATTATAAGGTTAGGATACTTATCATATTGGAGTTGCACTCATAGGTCATGAGAAAGGATAAATTCAGCTTTGTTTGCCGCAGCCACACTCTCCTTCAATATCTATCGAGAAAGTTAGACATAGGAGTAAAGGTTATATTATGCATACAACATTTTCAACCCATACTTTTGCGTCCATGTGTATATGTATTGCTGGGTTAAATCGGTTTGGTCACTTCCCAGATCCAAGAAGGTCATAGAGTGCGAAGTACTTGAAAAATTGCTGATCTTGCTTTCAAGGAGGAAAAAGAAATTTAAAGACATTAGAATCTTTTCAAAAGATCAAAACTATTAGTCCACATAGTACACGTCCAGTAATCTTCATCGCAACAAATTGGTAAACCTATCTTTACAGAAAAGTCCAAATTAAAGAAGAAAAAGCAAAAAGAGGTCGAAAAACTGAAGGAAATTAGAAGGACGAGAATAGGAGGACAGCGATGTTATCATCTGAGACGAAGGAGAGGAGGAAATTGTAATGTAATGGCGTTTGGAGGCGGGTTTGTGAAGAGAGGAAGTGAGAAGCATGAGAGTTGAGAAAGACTCAACCCTAATTGCAACCCACAAAGCACAAAACCGTACTATGAAGCCATCTTTGATTAATGTCAAGGGCTGAAATCGCAGGGCACCCCGTAGAGTACCTACAGGTATTTCAGAGCCACAATCCATTACTGCTCTCCCCTATATGCCTCAGCCCTCTCCATCTCCCCCAACTTCACATCGCCCAGAAAAACCCTAATCCTAAGCTTGCCCCAGGGGCTTACCAGCAAAAACACGTTGCAGCGATCAGCAGCTCGAACGGAACCGGCCCCCCCGTGTTGGAAGCTCTGCATTTTATAGAGGTTGAGGCCTTGAGGGTTGAAGATTGAGTTTGATATTGGGCCATGTTGATGATGGACTGGACCCATTTTGGGCTTTATATTTTGCTATTTTGTGGCCCAAATAATGCAATTCTTTTTTTTTTGGGACTAAGCCACAAATTTGAAGTTATAAGAAAAAGGAAGGTTATGATATGAGTCACTTTATGGTCTTTTTTTTTTTGAAAAAAAATGAGTCAAATGAAGAGCACACGAACATGTCTGAACACAATCACACTCACACACCGAGCACAAGTTTGGTACCACCAAATACGAGCAGTTAGTCAACTGGTCCATGTGGCACAACATGGTGCATTGATCTAACACCCGAGATCAATCAGCGCTAATAGTTGAGAAAACATTGCTCATTTCTCGTCGTCGAATTTCCAGTCCTTTCAGTTAAAAAAAAAAAGAATTTCCAGTCTCTGGTCAAAACTTACGTCTTACAATCCAATTTTTTTATTAATTTCGACTTATAAATGTGTTAAAAGAGAATTAAAACCATAACTCACTTGCTCCTCAAAATATTATCTGGGATCATCTTATTAAATAATGGTCGCCCGAAAAACAATATTTTAGCATTCTGGCTTTAAAAAAAATTACTTTTAACCGCCGAAAAAATAGAAGTAATCCTTAGAGAACTAAAATAAGGACTTAATAAAAATAATGTAACGTTTCCTTGTGGATTAGCTAGTCTGATTTTTGGTGCTTGGGTTTCCCTTTTGATATCAGAAACATAAAATAATAATGTAACGCATATGACAAGAAAGCCTCCTTGGGGAACTCACGCTCATGCACATTAAAAACTCGCTAAACCAAAAGACCACTAGCTGAGTTGTATCACTCAATAATCAATCCAAATTCTCTACATCCATATAAGTAAGTGGATCTAGTGCATTTAAAACAAAATTTAAGGACAAAAAGTTATAAATATAAAATGAGAATCCCCCACACATCTATATCGTGTTATTCTTTTCTGAATCTACAAATGTAGAAGTTGCAATTAAATTAATTATCCTAAAAACCAAACATAGAAAAGTCAAAAAAATTTGTAAGCCAGACTCCATATGGGTTTTCTTGGCATTTTCTGATGCTTTGTTCTGACACTCCAATTCTTGATTGTTTGTCTACCTTATTATTCCATTTCCAATGGATGAAACCTTGCAAACGCCTGCCGATGTGGTGAGTGGAACATCTTTATAGCATGCAATTAACTCCTCATTGGTGTGCAGATCCACCTGCAATGTTTCCCATACCTTCTTCTTCGGGTTCAAGAGTTCATCAGGAACACCCTCGTGTCCGGGGAACGTCACTCTCTCTCCTACATTAGCAGAGCTAGGTGGCTCAACCAGTTCAACCTGAGTGCACAACCACATGAGGAACGTTTTTGGAGCCCGGGAAAAAAAAAACAAATGGAAAAAGGCATTTACAGATATTACAGAACAATGAAGGAAAAGGAATGCTTAGGCAAGAAATCAAGTGAATTAGTATACTAAAGCTCGGAAAACCATCAGATTTTGAAATTATCTGCTTTTCAGTGTTTCTGGTCAAACTGAAATGGCAGTAGATGATGGTGACCTGACTCGTGATCATGGATGACGTAACATTTGTTAAACTACACAAGTAATTTAAAGCACTAGAGACAGATCCAGTACTTGATGCTATATGTTAAGGCGTCATGTTCTTTCTTACATTGGTATCATTGGAAGCAGCAAGAACCATTGCTTGTGATTTAATGCCCCGCATGGTTGCTGGCTTTAAGTTGCAGAGGACACACACCTTCCGATTCTGCAATGTCATTTATTCTGAATGAACTGGTAGACCAAAAAGTGCCTTCCAAAGTAGTTAAATTTTCTATGAATTCAATATGTTTCTATCATTTACAAATACCTGCATTTCATCAAGTGGTATATACTTGACAAGCCCACTGACAACAGTTCTGGTTTGCTCTTCACCCACATCAATCTCTTCAACATATAGGGAGTCTGCATCAGGATGTTTTCTAGCATTTTGTATGAGGCCAACACGAATGTCAAGCCTTGTTATGGTAATTTCTGGTTCAGCAGAAGCCTTGTTTTTGCCTTCCTTTGAAGATTTAGTTGATTGGTTTTTCTTTCCACTTCCCTCTGTTACAAACAGTAACCGAACTCCATAAGCAATCTTCCACAATTTTTTTTTGGCTTTTAAGAATGACATGCTAGACGATAGAAGATATTTGCAAACATTTTTAAGCTTAAACAAGGATTCAAGAGAAGCAACACTCGATAATCAAGGGCAGGCCTGTGATACCTCTAGCTTGCACCAATACAATGTTAGACAATTCCCACATGTTTAAATTCTTCAACAACTTATAAAAGTTTTCAAGTTATCTAGAGATTTAAAGTTTCTAATGCCTCGAAATGCATCTGCATTGGGCTGTTTCACATATTTTACCTATGTTACACAATAAAACATAAACGGCCACACATACTCATCATTTCTTTTTCCCTTCAGTAAAATTTACAGTTTCATATTCCTGCTTCGTTCTCATTCCTTTCCATTTTCAATTTTTCAGAGGATGATATCCCTCCTGTATTTAACATTTATTGCCTCTCTCCTATGGCCATTAAGAATAGCTCTTCCACCATGAAAATGAAATATGACCTGAAACTTTAGTTTTCTTTAGTTGATCAGCAAGCTTTCCAGCCTCAGCCTCTGCACGCTCAATCCTATCAGCCTGACTTCCAGCAAACTTCGTCCTGAAGAATTCCACTTCTTCATCTTTCTGGTAAACAAGTTTCAATACATCAGTAAATTTTGTCCAAAAAGACTATTCTCCCATCACATATTTGAGTGAGCGTGACATACCAGCTCCTTGAATAAAGGCTGAGGTGTCCCGATTTTATGACCATGGCTTATGATCTCCCAAGGTCTTTTCACCCTATCAACGTCCCCTTTTTCATCACAAAGGGAATCATGGACCACAGGAGGCAAATTTAGCTGCTTAAATACCTTCAATTCCCATCAAAGAGTAACAATGAGAACGTCTTCAAATAAGCAATTGGCTTTATATTAAAAACTCAAAGTGCAATAAGACATACAGTGGAGTTAATTTACCTCAAGAGTGAAAGATGGCATAAAAGGTTCCAATAAACATGCAAGAAGATATACAACCCCAACTGCAGTCTTCATAACTAGGGAGCAAAGAGATTGGTTTTCCTTGTAAAGACGCCAGAATTCAGTTTCCTGCAAAATTTATTTGAAAACAAGTCACAGGATGGTCTGGTATCAATCAAACGACCAAGAATAAGCAGGCACAACCACAGAAGCAGAAGGATGAAGAAATATAACATTTCAAAATGGTTAGATGTCCAACAAAAACCAATAATAAAAAAAGCACGAAGGGAGGGAGGGGGATAACATTCCAGATTTACCTGCAAGTACCCATTACCCTCACCGGATATGCTCATCGCAAGTTTCAACCCTTGCTTTAGTTTAACCTTCGTAGATTTTGAAAAGAGATGTCATCAAAATACAATAAAAATTGGATTAAAAAGGAATCTGACACATGGAGATGGTAGTTATACATTATAATGACCAACCAAAAAGAGCATAACCAACCTTCTCCATTGCTTCTATATATTGCTCCACATAAGCAGCAACTTTATCGGCCAATTTTTTTGTTGGTTCATGGGAGTCAGCCCTTAAATCAGCAGGAATGCTGGGGATAACGGAACCATATCCTTGACCTAGACAAGACAAAGAACTCAATATTACCAGAAAGGCCAAAAGGACAAAGCAAAACATTCATTGCTCCAACCAAAAACACAATGACTGGAGAGACAGGAAAGTATCAATAATAATGCAATTGAATGGACTAATAATTTCATTACTAGAATACAAAGTTCCAAAAAGTTATTATTAGCACAGTTTAAAACAATATAAAAAATTACAAAACCTTTACTTATTTAACAATGGAAAAATGGGAAGAACTATATTTCAGAAATGATAAATGATGAAAGCAATAAAACAACCTCCTAGTTCCTCATTACTGTGATCAGGACATATGTTAGATAGTTGTTCCAAAATATATAGTCTTCATGCATTTTACTTCGAACAATCAAAGGGGCTAATCAGTTGACATATCAAAGACCAATGATCCAATAATTCAACCAACCTGGAGGCTTAGCAACGAAACTCAAAACTCGGTTGATGAAGTTGCCCAGATTGCTCAGCAACTCACTGTTTAGTTTTGCTTGCAAATCAGACCACGTAAATAACGTATCTGATACCTGATTTGCATAATCACATTCAATGTGATTAGAATAGTACAGACAAGAATATTGAGAGAAGGAATAACAGAATTTTTGTTTCTCAAGATGGACACTTCAAATATAGTATGCTTCAAGTATAGAATTACCTCAGGCCTATTGGTTAGCAAGTAATACCTCCAAACTTCAGCTGGAATGTTAGTATCTTTAGCATCATTACCAAACACACCTATGCCTTTGCTTTTAGAAAACTTCCCTGGAAAATGTCAAAATGAGAATTCGGTTTGTCAAAACGGATCAAATCACAAGACTCAGAATGATAAACACTTTTAAAGACGTTCAGCCACTCATCGTTATCCATCATCTTGAACTACTAAATGAAAAAGCTATCATAAGGCAGACTGCTTACCTGCTTCGTAATTCAAGTATTCAGTAACACTAATAGTCTTCATTAGAGTCCAATTTTCACCAGTTCCAAGCAGAGTAGAGGGGAACATCACCTGAAGAACAAGATTTATTACACGTTACAACTATTTTCCCAAATTATGCTCAAATTTAGTACATCAATTATAAATCCACCTGGGAAGAAAAGGCAGCTCAAACATAGATCTTTAGTGTCTAACACAGGCTGGGCGCCCGTATTAGATGCAACGTTTCACTTTAAATTACATATAGACACTTCATATTATGTCATGTTTCCATATCCATGTGAATCTTAATTGTCCCCAAAACTCCGTCAAGAAAATAGCTGCTATGCCTAGATGCTAAAAAGTCGTACAGATGCACTTCCAGAATACATCGTAGATATAACCCCTAGCAAACAAAAAGAGCACTTGATAGCAGGGGAAAAAACCTTCAATTAAATATTTAAAAAAATAATAATAAACTACTTAGATTCTGACCCACCCCAAAAAATAAAAAAATTTAAAAATAAAAAAAACCACTTACAGTGTGAAATGGCACATTGTCTTTACCCATAAACTGATACAGCTCCACATTCTCTGGGTTCTTCCACCATTTCTCCCAATCAGACGTGTAACATGAAGTGATTGAGACATATCCAATTGGTGCATCAAACCATACATAGAAAACCTGAAAAAATGTATTATCAAAAAATGAGTCAAAGATCAAGTATAATCAAAGCAAGCTTTAAAACCCGGTAAATGACCCAAAAGATGAACAAAAAAGACCTTGTCACTGTATTTCTCATGGGGAACTGGAACTCCCCACTTCAGGTCTCTGGTTATACATCGTGGCTTCAATCCTTCTCTAAGCCATGAATGTGTTGTCTGGACAGCATTCTGGCTCCACAACCCCACCACTGACATCTCATTTATGTATTTTTCCAATTTATCCTTCAACAGAGGAAGTTCAAGAAACAAGTGGTTTGTATCACGAATGTGCGGAGCAGTTTGACAAACCTGGCAACAACATCCAAGCAAAACTATGTAAAAATCTAACCCAAATGTTGTTTTGATTTTGTTGAGAATGACAGAGGGACAAAGAGGAGGGTGAATTGGATGTACCAAGACTCTGGGAGAAATGCCAAATAACCAAAATATGAATGCAGTTCTGTAAATAATCTTGTATTTTTGCAATGAAAAATTAAACTAAATCCTAGCAAGACTATCAATAAAGATGCAGCACAGATCAATGAATTGGCAGCAATATGTAAATAAGAGTGAAAATAAATAGCAGAGAGTAAGACAGATCAAACACAAGAAGCCCATCTAGATTCGACTCCATTCTAAGCCTACATCCAATCTCCAAGCTCACTCTTGAGATTTTTCCGCTATCACTGCAAGGCACCCCTTTCCTTGAGCTTTTACTCTATCTACTAAGAGAACCCCGATCCCTGAGATTTCACTCTCTCCCTAGAGAAGGAATAAGGACACACAAGCAAAAACTCTCTCAAAGACCAGATTTTACAGTATAACAATAATAGGAGGTGACAGAGATTTGGGCCTGCACAAATGAATATACAAGATCATTTATTGTTTTCCCTTCTCTTTCAGAATTCCAGGATGCCTATTAAGAATCCCAAACAAATTGGAGCCGATGGAGAAAATGACAAGCTTAACAGAGCCATTTATAAATAGCTATCAAAAGACATTGTACCACCCAATCAACTAGACACCACACTCAGTCGACTGGTCGATTCAAAAGGAGGGGCATGACTCTCTGGTCACGGGGATTAGTTGATTAGTTGCTTTCAGAATGCAACCAAGCACTTTAAAAAATCAGCCCAATCAATTGGTTCTTGTAGAACGGTCAACTGGTCGCATCCAGATAGTGGCACAAAGGTAAGATAGTCAGGAGTCTGTTAGAAAGGCAATAGAAAGATTATATAATGTCAAATGAAATCAAAGCCTAATGGAGAACAAGTGCTCCACAAAAGGGGGGGGTGTTCTACCTTGCACCTGGGGCTTTTCAACTCAGTTGGATTCAAAAGCTTCCCACACTTCTCACACTGATCACCTCGTGCAGAATCATACTCACATCCTGGAGTTGGGCAAGTACCTTCCACAAGCCGGTCAGCTAAGAATCTTTGGCATGTGTCACAATAAAGCTGCAAAAAGAAAGACATATAAAGTAAAGCAACTAGTCTCATCTCATTATTCAAATCTTTACATCAGGAAATAACACTTGAATCTTGAACCAGACAAGAAGAGAAAAGAACTTACAAATGACAAGAAATCAAATGATAAGATGCACATGATACGCTACCATAAAAGAAAATTCAATACCTGCTGCATTGTGTTCTCTGAGAGCCAGTTATTATCCCACAGCCTCTTAAAGATTGCTTGGCAAACTTCAGTTTGCTGGGGCGCTGATGTCCTTCCAAATTCATCAAAACTTATATTGAACCAATCGTAGACCTCCTTATGAATAGCATGATATCTAAAAATAGGAAAAGAGATGAAAAAACATTGAAATTTTGCTCAAGCTATTACTGAATTCTCTGCAACTATAAAATGCTCCATGACCATAAGATGCCTTCAAAGAAAGACCAAACAGATGGAACGAAAAAGCTTAGTTCTTTACCAGATTCCAAACAGAATCATCTGAAATTAACAAAGCTATTAGCAAAATATAATCTAGATAGACTCAAGTATATATTTGCAATGCTCCTTTGAGTCATTGACTAGATTAATTGAGGGCCAGTAAACCTTCACAGCTAATACTAAACACTTGACTCGGCTAATTTGTAAACCCCACCAATAACAACTCCAGGGGACCAGCTCACAGAAACCAAACGTAATAGGAATAATAGGAACTTAGGTTGAATTCTGGAAATAAATATAAAATAACTTCAAAGCAAATAATTACTTGTCACAAATCTCTTTAGGGGAGCATTTCTCTTCCATGGCTTTAGTCTCTGTTGCTGTTCCATACTCATCAGTCCCACAGATGTAAATGGCATTGTAACCCCGAATTCGACAATATCGAGCAAAGACATCCGCACTCAACACGGCTGGTCAAAATCAAATTAATATTTATGCTCATTTCCAGCATGAACACAAGTGAAAGACCAAATAAATTTTTTATCACAAAATAAATAGAGGCAGATTATCAGGAAAAGTAATTAAAACCTAACGATATCTTCAATTATATGGAAAATATACATGCTATATCTTCCATTTTCAATAGCAGTAGGAAAATGGAGCAATCTATTTGCGACAGCAATTGTCAGGTTCTTATTATTTTCAGTAACATCAGGCAAAAATAGCCCCTTAACAGAAAGCTTCGACATACAAGAAATGCCATGCATCTAATCAAGAGAGATTCTTAAGAAACACAGATGCCATCACGCCCCAAAACATGAAATTGGTGCAAACTCAATGGAACACAAAATAGCAGGTAAAATTCATCATAAAAATACGTTTTTTTATGCGACGAGGCATAAGATAGACTACTGACATCCAATGATATTGCCCAGATGAGGAACATTGTTGACGTAAGGCAAGGCACTGGTAATGAGGATGTTGCGCTTGCCCGGAATAGGAAGCTTCCGCGTTTCCGGATTGTCCATGAGGCTTCCCGTTCAAAGCTTTACTCGCAGATAAGACGGGTCAGGTCAGATTATCCCACAGCGTCGTCGGCTGAAATACTCAGAGAGGGTTATAGTAAGCTTATATGTATTGCCACACGATGATTAGATAAAAGGATTGGTGGGTTAAATGGTTCTGATCAAACTGAGATTTAAGTTTCAGTAGACAGAAGCAAAACTCAAAAGGAACTGACTTTAATCGAAGTTTGAAGGATACCTCACAAGATTTATAGCAGTCGCTGGGGCAGCTGAAGAACTCTGCCCTAATGGAACACCCCGAAGCCCACAATCGAACCGCGCGTGCCGGCGGTAAGTTCCCTCAAGTGCTTGCTATCCACGCCATAGATAGATTCGACAGAAATAAGTATAAAATAGAAACATAAATTGTTGACTTTATTTAAAAAAAAAGAAAAAGAAACACTTGTTTAGAACAAATATTATATACGTGGCTATATATTTATATTACTACTTCCGCTTATTAATATAAGACTTTGACTTTTATTTTAATTTTAAATATAAAACCTCAATCCACTTTGTCTTTCATATTTATATTTTTTTTTCAAAGTAACCCTTCTAAAAATGATAGTTCTAATCAATACACTTGATTAGCAAGGATATTTTAGGAAAAACAATATCTATTTAGGATAAATAACTAACTCAGCTTACTTTCTTAATTTCCTCAAATTAGTTAACTGGTTCTTATAATGAAGATCGAAGGTTGTATTAAATAAGCTGCCTCAAATTCTACTTTAAAAAACCCTTTTAATACTAATGCCCACTTTCAATTTAGCGAGAAGGAGGCAAAGAGCGAACGTAGAAAGTAGAAATCGACTCTTGCCTCAATCTATCTCTTTGAGCACCGCAACAACCTTCAGAGCACAATGAACTTGGTCAGCCAAAGAAGAAACCTTAACTAAGGTTTGCCTCTGCCATTTCTTTATTTTCCCTTTTCGATAAATTCTCTCTCGGCATATTCAAGGTGAACAAGTTTTACGAAACAAAATTAAAACTATTCTGGATATTTCAGAGATAATATTTAACAAAATAAAAGAATTGCCTGCAAGAAATACATGTCACCTCTTAATGGCCATATCAGTTGTGTTATTTTGGTCAAATTAGAGCTGATTCATCAATTAACGATCAAATAAAACAGATCTGTTAGCATTGGATGTAGGTGCACTATTTTAAATATTTCACGGACAAAATTATATCGAAAATAATTTTAGAACACTAAGTATACTTAAAAAAATACCTAAAGGTGTTGGGTGCATCTTAAACCTAAAATATTATATACACGGGTATATATTTATATTATTAAATAAGCTGCCTCAAATTGTGCCGCTTGTAAGTAGCAAAATTCACTTTAATTTTTTCTAAAATCATACAGAGTTTTCTCACCCTCAAAATAATACATAGTTAAAAAGCAAAAAATAATCGATCAACACGTCAGTATCATCAACATATTTAATAGAAGTATAATAAATTTCATTATTATACAAGATTGTTGATTTTCCCAAAAAAAAAAAAGATTTATTTTTAATTTTTTTATCATTTAAAAAAGTTATTTTCATGCGAATTCCCAGTATTGAAGTTGCTTTGTAAAAAAAGGCATCTGTAATCGCATCAATAAATAGTAAATTAACATTAATCACCCATCTTAATTTTATATAATTCTAGTATGCTTATACGTTAATTGATTGTGGTAATTAGGATTTACGGCGTGATTTTACTCAATGGTAGTCAATTTTTTTATTTATTTGCCATCGGTTAGTCAATATTTCCCTCCATGTCTGGAAAATTGTAATATTTTATTAATTTTGTATGGATGTAAGCAGTATTTTTTGTTTTTTTTTTTGTTTAGTTAATTCAACATGAATTTTGACCCGAAACAAGATGACCACAAAATATTTTTTGTTCTTGGACCAAAAACCATTGAAACCACTATTACCAAAACAAAAAAAACCGTTAAAACCACGAAATATATTTATAGGCCCAAAATGGGACATTATTAGATTATTTCCTGTAGACAAAAGTTAGAGTTGGCAAAAAAAAGAATAAAAATTAATATATATGCAGATATATAAAATACGTATACGTTAATTTTTAAATCCAGTAATTACTTCTCTTGAATAACAGATTAAAATTAAATAAAGTAGTTACCCGTTGCCAAAAAATAATGGTAATAAATCCTTTGATTATTCCATATCTTGTTTATTATCCAATGTTTTGAGGTTCGTTGTGTGTTTCAAAATCCTTTTTTTTTTTTGGGGCCAGATATTTACATATATTTGAATTCCTTTGTGCTTCTAGAGCTCCCAGAACCAATTGGATAACCTCTTTTTTTTTTTTTGGCAACGGGTAACTACTTTATTTAATTTAAATCTATTATTCAAAAGAAGTAGTTACTGGATTTAAAAATTAACGTATACGTATTTTATATATCTGCATATATATTAATTTTTATTCTTTTTTTTGCCAACTCTAGTTTTTATCTACTAATAGAGATCTCACAATATATTACTACTATATTGGAGATATATGAGATACATATTAAAACTAAGATAATGTTTTTCTATTGTAACAGGAAATAATCTAATAATACCCCTTTTTGGGCCTATAAATATAGTATTATATTATTAACGTAAAAATAATGATAATAAATCCTCTATAATCCTAATAAACAATTCATTTTCATAGCTACTGTGTCCCTATTTTATGATATTGAAACATATCTAGTTTAACAATGATATGAACTTTCTACAAGGATTCAATTCGACTATTGAGAAAGATATTCATATTCATTTTAACATCTCATACACAATTCATATTTAATTATGGCATTGTTGGATGGATTTTTTTTTTTTGGGTACAAAAGAAGGCTAAAGCCTAATCAGAAAATTGGATGGACTATATTAGATCTGTGTTATCATAAAAAAAAAACAATAAATAAAGCACTGGACTTGTAAATTTCCATTTAACACTCGGGTCAAAAAAGAAAACTTTCCATTTAACACATGGGTCTCGGCACTCATTTTTGGGCCTGTTAACCTACTGACCCATCATTGGTGGATAAAGTTCATAAAATTTTAGCCCACTTACATCCAAATGGATCTGCTTGACCCACTTTGACAGTTGAAAAGCGTCCAATACTCCAATATATATATATATATATATATATATATATATATCAATTAGGACAAATTTTGTTTAATCACTTGACTAAACAAGTTAACCCATATCACTAACAGGGATTAGGTCTAACGGAAGGGGTTAGTCCCTCACAATATGATAAATCACTATTTGAATTCTCGTTGGGAGATATGTCCGCATTTAGTGCCCAACGGTGCCTCAAATAGATTGCCTTCAATAAAAAGATACCTATGCTGAAGCAAAAAAGTTGACCCATATCAACTAAACTGATAAGTCTTACCTATTAATCCTGCAGGTATCTTTTTGTTTTTTAGGGGAAAAAAAAAGAAAAAATAAAAATCAAGCCAAATATTTGAGTGAAAGTTCACATTATTCTCACAACTCAACTGACTTTGTTCTGTTATTTATAATTTATAATTTATAATTATGATGCCGGGAGGGAACTTAGTCTAGCCCCTACATGATTGAGAGGCGAATTGGTTGCACGCGCAAATATATGTGCTCAATTTGCACACACACGCATTGTTAATGACTATTTTTAAAAAAATTATTTTAAAATTTCTTTTGACTAAATTACACAAAAGACTAATATCATTGTTGATCTTTACAGTTCGATCCAATATTAATTTTGATGTTCGTAATTTCAAATCAATTTTAGAAGAAATTATTCTGAGTTTCAATCAAAAGTCATTAAAAGTATAGGAATAATACCTGGACTTTAAAAATTATAAAAATACGGATCAAAATCAATATTTTAAAATTATAGGAATCAAAAATAAAATTGGACATAAATGTATTGATCCCATAAATAACGTAATAGAGCTAACCAAAAGGAAAATCTAACCACCCCTTTTAAAATGAAAACCACGTACATATATATCCTATGAAAATACATTATTGGTGCTTTGAGTTGCGCAGCATCCCTTTAGAAGAGCAACTTTCGGCAAATGTTTAATTAATGAATTATAACGTGCATTGTACATAATAAATATATAAGTGAGGATTTTGAAAATTGGGCCAATGAATGTTGGTGTGTCGATCCAAAAAATACTGAGAGACAGCCATGTGATCTTTGTTTGCAACTCCCAAAACATTCGAATTACAATTCATCATCAAGGTTTATACACAAACACTACCTCCGGCCTTAATTATAAGATCCCGTTTATATACTACAAACAGGATCTTAAAAGTAGGACAGGAGGTAGTATCTCGTAGGGCTATGTGAAATCTTTCTAGACCTAAAGAAATATCAAAAGAAATATCATTAATCAATATTATGTTCAACTGATTCCCCTGTATATATGTAGATATATTTTCAGAATTTGAACTTTTTATTTTATTTTCCCTTCAAAATTAAAATTAAATCACGCATATAGTTTGATTGAAATAAAAAAACTCCAATTCACTTACATGTCTATAACCTGGGAATTCATTATTGAATGCCAAATAGATCAAAAACTCACAATCAATTCCCACAACAATATAATTGTAAACACTAAATGATAACTTCATTGCAATTGCCACTGTTCATAAAGTTATATAGATGATATGCTACCTCCGGTCCTTAAGTTAGTTAGTTATAATAAATAGGTGTTATTTTTTTTTTTAATATCCTTGCTAGTTATGTATATTAACTAGAACTACTTTTTGATGAAATATTTAATATGTGCGACCACTGCAAAGATTATTTTTAAAAAAATAAATAAATATGAGAGACAAAGTGCAATGAGAGCTTATATTTAGAACCAAATTGAATGTCCTGTATATTATAACTCAAAAGCCCTACCATGCCGGCTTGTATATATAACTTATTGACCCACGCCCTCTCCTTGGATCTATCACTGCGACTCCTCCAATGTGTTTAGCTAGGATCCTATAGATCATTGAATAATTCAATCTGCAAAAAAGCACTCGATCATATAGTACTGAATCCATAAAGTCAGAAGTTCATTTCTGATCTCAAAAAGAGATTAAAAGAAGCAAAGAAGAAGGCTTTTTTATTTTACCACTGTACTATTATATTGGGAAAAGGCAGGAGTTAA